CCGTACTGTGGTACTATCACAGAGCCTGGGTTACCTGTGGCTCAACGAGAAATAGGGCGACAGAGATCTAGATCGTGAGATAAAAAAAAAGGAGACATTTTTTTGTTGGAAGAACAACATCAAAATTTTGAAGCGGAGGTGACAAAATAAGAAATGCTAGCGGCCACCAATCAAATGCAAGGTGAAAATGAGTGGCAGTGAAAAACAGAGAACGAGAACACGTACGATATTTCCTCCATTAAAAGTGTAACTAAGAAGTTTCTGGAAGTTTCACGTTGTAGTCGTCCAAAACAACGGCAAAAAAATGTACAAAAACAGTGTGCTGCACGTGCAAAATTGCTTTTTTGCTAATTAGACCTACTGTTATTCTTCACCGTTCTCCGGCGTTGCCTTCGCTGCTTAGTATAACACTATTTTATATTTTGTTTGAACGAACTATAAATATTATCGAGAGCTTCGCTTTTAGCCCTGGCTAAATCTATATATTATTTCGCATGCATACCTGTTACTTTTCCTTTGAATTGAAAGCAACACAATAGGGCCATTTATTATATACATACTGAGAAATACTCACCAAAAAGCTATGTCGTAAATTTTCGTACGCAAATTAGTTCTAGCCAATCAGAGGAGCGAACGATAGTTTTCACACGTGAAAAAGATGATACGTCCAATCAGAATAGCGAACGATGTTTTTTCACGTGTGAGAAAAATGATACGTCCAATCAGAAGCCACAGAGGTGTGTGAGTTTCGCGCCAAAATTCCCGCCTTTTATTGCAGCTTGCAGCGCCGCTTCGCACACATTCAACGAGAAAAGTTTTACTTACAGAGTTTTTCTCACTAAAAAAGTGAGAAACTTTTCGGAAATGGAGTGGAATAGTTTCGACTTAAGCTTTTGTTGTGCTTTTTGTCGGAGCTACTTTGCCTTTCATTTAAGCTTAAGCTTACATTGAAACCGGCCATTTTACTTAAATTCACTCATTTTCAATTGTGCATTGAGAACAAACAGTTAAGATTACTTATAGTTCTTGGATTACCTCATATCCTCACCGTCATTTATGTTTTTAACAAACGTTTTCACTAAAAAGCGGATACTTCGTTTTCGTTGTCATTTTGCGGTAAGTGTGTAGCGGCACATTTTAGCATTTTTGAAAGATTTAAAATAAAAAGGCCGCCAAAATGATGAATGTCTCAGTATGCATATAATAAACACAATAGGTGGTTTTCATGCAATCTCGGGAGACTCAAATAACAATGGTGAAATGAACAAATGCTGGTGGACAAACAGAGCGAGCTAATGAGCGATCTTTTGTTTAACGTCCACCAGCATAGCGGCGATGACGTAACCTGAAAACCACCTATACCACATGGAAAGTGCTTTGTACGGTATTTACGCACTCGTAGTATTTGTATCAGAAATCTTACTCGTTCGCTGAGCTCACTCGTTCGATTTCTGATACGTCAACAACTCGTGCTTAAATACCGTACAAAGCACTTTAACGGTATTCCACAAAACGAATAGTAATATCGCTCTCCGCGTCTTCCGCCATTTTTTTCTACCTCAATTCGTGAAGGACGCGTGGCTCTGAGCGTGGGTCATCCACGCGGAACACTTTCGTGCTATGTGATTGACTGTTGTCCAATCCCCCTTGGGATCTGTGGTCTTAAAAATAACTCGAGACGAATTACCTATGGAATAGTGTGTGTACGGAGGATGCCTTCTCTGTCCCCTTTATCATCTCTTGGTGGCAAATGAATTGTTGCCAAAATTGAGCGTTTTGTGTTCACGCGTAGAGCTGAGTCGGTGCTGTGGTGAATGACATTATCAGACTATTTCGGGACCCAGCCCCCCGTGTAACCTCCTAGTGACAATAAAAGAAGCGACAGCGTTCCCAGAACAATCTCATGGTGAGGTGCAACACAACACCCACGTAGTTTTACGCGCAAGCTCAAAGCAACCAATCAAATGAAATGGGTCCCTTACTGCTGGTCAACGGTGTGGTTCAAAAATGCTTTAGTGCCGAGAAGCGCACCCCTGCATGGAGCTTTTGTATCATTTGCACATCTCTCATAATACTACTTGTTTGCCCTCTCCTCCCCCTGCTCTCCTCCCCCTAACAAAATTACGTAAGCAATAGAGAGGCTTTAGAGAGATTAAGATTCACGTTTATAGCAAACGGCAAACGTCAGACTCAAGTTCAGAATTTCTCAGAATAGAAAATAAGCAGATAAAAACTGCCCAGAAAAATTGTTATGGATAAAACCGGCGTAAAACTACTTATTCTTGAGTAGAATAAACAATAAACAACAATTAAGGGACAAACTTGGTCACGTGGTACAGATACACGTTTGCCGTTGGCTTAAACGTGAATCTTTTAAAATCTCTCTTTTGAATCACTTTTACAGCAAAACGACTGAATACGAAAGCCTTCGACAGCAACTTTATTTTCATATTTCTGAAAATGATGCAACCTTCATCAATTTAACAGATCATGATAGAACGTTATATTTACTCAGATTGGACAACTACAAAACCTCACATATTATAGCCAAATATGCCCATCTAATGTTTCAAAAACGAAAACAGTTCCTGGGTCAAAAAGCCAATTGATTAGGTAATTAAATTATAGTATAATTATTATCGAAATGGTATATGCCGTACAATTTTGTTGTTTCCGTGCATATTTCTTCCTTTTTAAATTTGTTGCAGTTGAAAAACCTTTATTGTAACTTGACCGATGCCTCCCTTTGGAGAGTAAGGCGCAATAAAGATATATTATACTTATACTTATACTCTCCATCACTACACATCACTGGCCATCACTACACATCACTGTCCATCACTACACATCACTATCCATCACTACAAATCACTGTCCATTACTACACATCACTATCCATCACTACAGATCACTATCCATCACTACACATCACTAACCGTCACTACGCATCACTGTCCATCACTACCCATCACTTAGACATCACTGAAGCTTTTATTTACGCAAGAAATCACAGTCAGTTTTATGATTTGTTAAATGGTGACAAAAACGAGGTAACAAAAAACCAGCAATGTGTTAAGAACACTCGTTCTAGCATTAAAGAACAGCTGCAGAAAAAATTTTCTCAAGATTGGCTTAAAGTTCAAAGCGACATTTCGGAGAGCTCTAGACAAAAATATACAAATTAGATTTGTTGTAGTTGTAAAAACCTTTATTGTCACTAGACCGATGCCTCCCTTTGAAAAGTAAGGCGCAATAAAGATAAACTATACTATACTATCCATCACTCCCCATCACTACACATCACTATCCATCAATACACAATTCTTTCAAGCGTTAGATCTAGTTGCTGTCTAACTTACACAAATACGACTTGCAATTACAATAAAAACCCGCGTATAAGAACCTAGATTTTCCAAATTAGCCTAAATAGATTCTTATAGAAAGTGATCTGTAGTGATGGACAGTGGTGTGTAGTGATAGCCAGTGATGTGTAGTCACGGACAGTGATGTGTAGTGACGGCCAGTGATGTGTAGTCATGGACAGTGATGCATAGTGATGGCCAGTGATGTGTAGTGATGGACAGTGATGTGTAGTGATGGATAGTGATGTGAAGTGATGGACAGTGATGTGTAGTGATGGACAGTGATGTGTACTGATGGACAGTGATGTGTAGTGATGGACAGTGATGTGTAGTGATGGACAGTGGTGTTTAGTGATGTGAAGTGATGGATAGTGATGTGTAGTGATGGATAATAATGTTTAGTGATGGATAGTGATGCGTAGTGATGGACAGTGATGTGTAGTGATGGATAATGATGTGTAGTGATGTATAGTGATGTGTGATGATGGATAGTGATGTGAAGGGATGGACAGTGATGTGTAGTGATGGAAAGTGACGTGTAGCGATGGACAGTTATGTGTAGTGATGGACAGTTATAAGTAGTAATGGACAGTGATGTGTAGTAATGGATAGTGATGTGTAGCGATGGACAGTGATGTGTAGTGATGTGTAGTGATGGGTAGTGATCGGTAGTGATGGGTAATGATAGGCAGTGATGTGTAGTAATGGATAGTGATGTGTAGTGATGGACAGTGATGTGTGGTAATGGATAGTGATGTGAAGGGATGGACAGTGATGTGTAGGGATGTGTAGAGATGGATAGTTATGTGTAGTGATGGATAATGATGTTTAGTAACGGACAGTGATGTGTAGTGATGGATAGTGATGTGTAGTGATGTGTAGTGATGGATAGTGATGTGAAGTGATGGACAGTGATGTGTAGTGATGGACAGTGATGTGTAGTGATGGATAGTGATGTGCAGTAATGGTCAGTGATAGGTAGTGATGGATAGTGATGTGTGGTGATGGAGAGTGATGTGAAGTGGTGGACAGTGATGTGTAGTGATGGACAGTGACGTGTAGCGATGGATAGTTATGTGTAGTGATGGACAGTGATGTCTGGTAATGGACAGTGATGTGTAGTGATGGATAGTATATAGTATATAGTATATCTTTATTGCGCCTTACTCTCCAAGGGGAGGCATCGGTCTAACAGTGATGTGTAGTGATGTGTAGTGATGGGTAGTGATCGGTAGTGATGGGTAATGATGGGTAGTGATGTGTAGTGACGGATAGTGGTGTGCAGTGATGGACAGTGATATGTAGTGATGGATAATGATGTGTAGTAATGGTCAGTGATGTGTAGTGATGGATAGTGATGTGTGGTGATCGATTATAATAATAATAATAATAATAATAATAATAATAATAATAAATAATAATAATAAATAATAAACTACCATCACGGCTCTTGGGGAAGGAAAACACTACAAATTCCTGGGGGTGCTAGAGAACGTTCGACAGGATGAACGGCTGGCCCTAGCCTGCGCGGCTAAAGAGTATCTACGCAGGATATCTATTATATGGTCCAGCCCCCTGTCTGATTGTAACCGTGTGCAGGCATCTAATCAGTATGCACTCCCGGTCCTGCGGTACCTAATGTGGACACAGCATTGGCCTCTATCAGAGTTAAGAGATGTGGACAGAGCAGCTCGGAAGATCATAGTTGAGAACGGTGGCAAGCACCCAGCTAGCCTGACTTCTTTGTTATATCTACCGAGGGAGAAAGGGGGTAGAGGCCTGCGATCAGTCGAACACGAGTACAAGATCACTAAAATCAAATCGCTACTGAAACTGTATCAGAACCCGGACCCGACTGTGGAAGCAGTTAGAGAATTTGAAGAACACGCCATGGCATCAGGCCACCAGTCGCTCGTAAAGGAAGCAGCTAAGTACGCTGAAGAACTCAACATCACCCTTCAGCTTGATACCCTAAATCCCGTGTGTGTTACAACAGATGGAAAGGTGGTAACTGCAGCAAGAGCTGGGAATCTGTTGAAGCAATCTCAAGAGAAGCAGTTCTTGGAGAGCGCTAAAGACAAAAAGTGGCAAGGAAAGTTATTCCGTATCAGATGGGAAGATGAGAGCCTAAGCATAGCCAACTGCTTTGCATGGTTAAAAGGTTGGGCTACATGCCCTACACATACCATCGCGGGCATGTATGAACTGTATGAGCAGTTGTTACCTACGAAGCTCTACACAAAGGAGAAGACGCAAACCTCCACCGACGGCGAAGTTCTATGCAGGTTATGTGGGAAGGTAGCTGAGAGCGTTGCACATGTACTGGCTGGATGTTCCTCCCTGGCACAAACCAAGTACCTATACAGGCATAATGCAGCTTTGAAGATTCTGTTTTTGAGCTCCTGCGAGAGCATGGGTTAATGGAAGAGGTTCCACCATGGTACTCACCGGTGATGCCAAAACCAGCCTACCAGAACACCACGAGTGAGGCGTTTTGGGATATTCCCATCTATGCAGAGCACAACGAAGTTAGAGCAAATCGGATCGACGCGCGACTTGTCAACCACGAGAGGAAAGAAGTCTGCACAATTGAAATGAGCTGCTCATGGATTGAGAGTAGAGCTAAGAAAGATGAGGAAAAGACACTCAAGTATGGGCCCATGATGTGGGAGCTGAAGCAGAGATACAATGGTTACAGGGTTGAACAGTACAACGTAATAATTGACGTACTGGGGGGTTACTCTAAACACCTAGAGAAGTCGGTGAGGAAGCTACTTGGAGCGAGAGCACGGAGCGTACTTCAGCGAATGCAGAAGTCGGTCATCTCAAACACTTTAAACATTGCCAGAACATTTAAGATAAATACTTAGTTAGGGCGCTATGGACTTCAGTTTTTAGGTTTTTGTTTTTCTCTAGAAATCTAGAAACACAAGCTTGCTGACGTTTTTATTTAGATTTTTTAGAACATTAGAGTGTGATATTATTATAAATATGTTTTTAGTAGAGATAGCGAAGGTTTTAAAGAGTATCAGAATTTAATAATATTCTAAATTGGCTTTTTAAGTAGAGAGATTTATATCACTATGTATAAGCTTTTAGTAGAGATAGCGAAGGTTTTACAGAGTATCAGAATTTAATAATATTCTAAATTGGCTTTTTAAGTAGAGAGATTCATATCACTATGTATTTTAGGATTGTATTAGGTTTCGTATCGACCTTTTTTTACTTCTAAGTATAGCTTCTCAAGTGGTGTAGGTTACGCTTTGCGCCCTATACTACTCATAATGTGGACAGCATTCCAAAGTTTCATACTGCGACATAATAATGGAATTTATATAGCGCTTATACATCGCTGTTCTAAGCACTTTACAATGTAAAAAAGGACATAAGAATATCATTAATATCAAGGCGTATACTCCTTGATGCCGACCTCTCTCAGGCTTCTATTTCTTTATTTTTAAAACTTAACTGGATTCCCGTTTTTGATCTTATTAAATACAGGAAACTTTTTCTTCTTTTCATCGTACTCCTTAATCCGAATGCTCCTAAATGTCTCAGGAACAGATTTCAATTTCTTTGTGATTCGCGTGGACCTCTGGGCCGTTTTACAAGAGCCTCTCTCTACGACTTAAAGGTGCCATGCCCACGGAGCAACTCTGGGAAACGCACCTTGGCCTATACTGCTACTAAACTTTTTAATGACCTCAGTTACGACTTAAAAGAGTTTTCTATTTCTTCTTCTCCACTGATATTTACATTTCTTCCCTCCTCTCTTAAGTCTAAATTACGAGGTCTGTTTTTCTCACGCCTATCATCGGCCGAGCACTTGGAGGATCTACTGTGCTCGACTTGCCGCTATTCTATTTATTGTCACTGTTTTTCATAGTCCTACTACAACCACTATTACGTCTTTTAATTTATATTTATGTATATATGTATACATGTTCATTTATAGTACATATTTTTCCCCCCTTCGTCGATTTACATATTATTCATTACGTGTTTATAGCCTATTCTACTTTAAATATTGTCTCTTTTGTGTATATATATATATATATATATTTATAGTTAGATATAGCTCTTTGGCATTACAAAGCTTTTGCTTTCATGTCTAAATTGAGCACTCTACTAGGATGAGTCATTGCCGCTAGCAATTGCGCACGCTCGCTAGCCCGCTAGTTTGAGCACTCTGGCATGGCTTAGATGTACCACATGTGTGGGACATTTGGGGTGGCTTTTTAAGCTTAACCCCCATCCTAGACATCAGCACTGCACTGATGAGGCCCAGAAGGCCGAAACAGTACTGTCTGCAGTTAGTTATATATATATTTATAAATTTATTTGTTTTTAGTCTTCTAAATTTATTTATCTATTTATCTATTTTTTGGAGGGCCGTAGGTTAGAAAACTGTAAAAGGTTATTGCGCTTCCCTCTTTAAATAAAGTTATTGTATTGTACTGTATTGTATTGTATTGTATTAAGCACAAGCTTACATATAACCCTGCTCTACATATTGGGAAATTTATAGCACACACATCTTACAAAAAAAAAGGTCACTTTGATCCTGACGTCTATGAGACCATTTATCCAAGTGGATCTCAGCCTGCTAGGATATATGGTCTCCCTAAGATGCACAAACCACGAGCGCCAAATTCCACCCCTCCATTTCGGTCCATAGTTTCCTCCATAGGCACCTACAACTACGGCTTGGCCAAATACTTAAGTACGTCTCCTCCAACCTCATATTCCATCCTCATTCATTGCTTCAGATTCCTTCTCTTTTGTGAAGGAAATCAATGATCTATCTTTGCATGGGATGTTTATGGTCTCCTTCGATGTTGAAAGCCTCTTCACCAACATCCCTCTAGATGATCGTACTAACCTTGCCGTCAAATATATTACTGAGGGTAATCCAGGGTTGAAACTTAGTAAAAATGAGCTTAAAAGGCTGTTTGAGTTTGCTACCAAGGAAACTCACTTCCTGTTCAACGGTAACTTCTATGATCAGGTGGATAGTGTAGCCATGGGGTCCCCCTTGCCCCTGTTCTCTCCAATCTCTTTATGGGTCACCATGAGAATATATGGCTGGATCAATATGGGGATTCAGAGGTATTATTCTATCGTCGCTACGTAGACGATACATTTTGCCTTTTCCACTCTGAAAGGGGATGTATTCCTTTTCTTCAATTACATCAACAATCAACACCCCAATATACGCTTTACAATGGAGCGGGAAACTGACCATGTTCTACCTTTCCTAGATGTTCTAATCAATAACAATGACCCACACCAAAGTGTAACCACCGTTTACTGGAAAAAGACTTTCACAGGTTTGCTCACCAGTTATCTGAGTTTTTGCACCTTTACCTACAAATTGGGGTTAATCAAAACCTTGATTCATAGAACTTTTAAGATAAACAACACTTGGATGGGGTTCCATACTGACCTTCAAAAATTGTCTGTCATTCTGTGGAGGAATCTCTTCCCTGAGAACCTTATCAACAAATAAATTTCTTAATATATTCAGACAGCAGTCAAGGGAGGGAAAACACAGTCCTATTCAGGAGTACAGCCTCAGGAAACACCTAAGTTCTTCTTTAAAATCCCTTACGTTGGGCACTTCTCAGTCATGGCACAGAGGAGTATACGCAAACTTGCTAACCGGTTATGTAAACCTATTGATTTAAGGTTAGTCTTTACTACTTTCAAAGTCAGGAATCTTTTTTATGTGAAAGATGCTGTCCATGAGGGGCTACATACGCGTGTGGTCTATACATTTTCGTGTGCAAGTTGTAATGCTTGCAGTTATGTTGGCGAAACCAGCCGACACTTCTCCACACGAGTGCGCGAGCACTTACTTTCAGACAGGTCTTCGAACGTTTTTAAACATCTGCAGAGTTCAGAGTTGTGTAGAGCATCCTGCACACCGGATTGCTTCGAGATCCTGGACTCTGCAGCCACTAAGTACCAAGTGAAGCTTAAGGAATCCATGTTTATAAAATGGGAGAAGCCCGATCCCAACCAGCAGGTGAAACACATTAACCTGACTCTCTCCCTGTAAAGAACTAAGCGTCACTCATTTAATTTCGTTTTAGTACGCAATATTGATAACGCAATGTAATGAACTTTGTAAGATCGCGCGCGCTTTAAATTCACCGGCGATTTCAAAATATGTAACACTGAAGATGAGGGATTACCGTCGAAACATGTCTGGAAATTTTAAGAAAGTTTTTATGTTTATACGACTATCTATATTGTTGCTTCTATCTAGACCTTTTGAAAGTAGAAAAAAAACAAAAACAAAAACAAAACAAAACAAAACAAATATGATGAAACTAACTCTCATATACCTTTTTAAAAAGAAAAGTTTTCAACTTAGATTTAAAAAGATTAACATCAGAACAAGCTCGAATTTCAAAGGGAGCTTGTTCCATAGTCGGGGGGCAGCAACGGAAAACGCTCGCTGGTGATAAGTGTTCATGTTAAAATTTGGTTCTTCAAGGCGTAAATAATCCCTTGGTGACCGTAATGTCCTTGATTGATGGTAAAATTTTAAAATATCTTCAAGATAACGGGGACCGGAGCCACTCAATGTTTTAAAAGTTATTAAATTTATTTTAAAAACAATTCTCTCCTCAACAGGAAGCCAGTGAAGATCTCTTAAGAGTCTCGGTGATGTCATCTCGTTTTTCGAGACCCGCGATAATTCGAGCAGCCGCATTCTGAACGGACTGCAACTTAACTATGTCCCGTTTTTGGGCACCAAAAAGAAGAGAATTACGAAAGTCCAACTTCGAGCTAACAAAACTGTGAATTAGAATTTCTGTGGTACTTTTACTGATGCATTTTCTTATTTTAGAAATAAAATAGTGATGTGAAGTGATGGACAGTGATGTGTAGTGATGGACAGTGACGTGTAGCGATGGATAGTGATGTGTAGTGATGGACAGTGATGTGTAGTGATGGATAGTGATGTGGAGTAACGGACAGGGATGTGTAGTGATGGCCAGTGATATGTAGTGATGGACAGTGACGTTTAGTGATGTGTAGTGATGGGTAGTGATCGGTGTGATGGGTAATGATGGGTAGTGATGGGTAGTGATGGATAGTGATGTGTAGTGATAGACAGTGATGTGAAGTCATGGATAATGATGTGTAGTAATGGTCAGTGAAGTGAAGTGATGGACAGTGATGTGCAGTGATGGACAGTGATGTGTAGTGATGGATAGTGATGTGTAGTGATGGACAGTGACGTGTAGTGATGGACAGTGATGTGTAGTGATGGATAGTGATGTGTAGTGATAGATAATCATGTGTAGTGATGGACAGTGATGTGTAGTGATGGATAATGATGTGTAGTAATGGACAGTGATGTGTAGTGATGGATAGTAATGTGTAGTGATGGACAGTGATGTGTAGTG